CTCTCTCTCTCTCCCTCTCTCTCACACACACACACACACACACACACACACACACAAACACACACATACACACACACACACACACACACACATTTCCGTTGACTCCTTATTTCGTGCTTGTCTGACTCTCGGTGTTGTGCAGACCCAAACATTGACAATGTCACCGACAGGCGGAGACGCTGTCCCCGCTCGATCATCGCCCATTGAGGGATCTCCGCAGGGGACCCCCGATCCTTGCCAAAGCGTCGATCGATCTCGCGGGGGTTGTTGGGTGTTTCACCGCACAGCAGTGGCCCAGGGGTCCGGTTGGGGAAACGGCGCCGCGGTACCGTTTCGCATGCGACTGACAGCGTCGTTGACCCGGGCGTGACACCCATTTCGCCTTTCGCCGGTGTGTTGGGGGCATCTCCGCCGGGTGTGGCCGGGTTTCGTGACGCGGCCACGTTTGGAGGTGTGTATGGTGCTCCGTTGCTGCCATCCCCACTACTGCCTAGACGGCTGGACTATGCGGCCACGATTCCTTTAGCACCTGTATGGTCACATGCGATGGCCCCGCCATGTCCCGCTGGAGGCGGTTCTCTTCCAGGAGATTGCAGCGGCGCTTTGCGTTTTCCACCCGTTTCACGTCGACGAGTCGTCGACGTGGCGGCGGGTTCGTTTGCAGTGCCGCCTCAGGCTCCCTTTGTCGCTCAAGATTCCACACCTCCATTTGACGATGTGGAAAGCTCAGCGGCAGTCGGCGGCACGCCGTGTTCGGGCGGCAACAGCATCGTGCGAGTGTGTGTGAGGGATGCGTGTCGGAGACGGTTGTACGCTCTCCGCGACACTATGGCCGGTCTGGGTGACCAACGCGGACCGGTCAGCGACGTTATTGATCGGCTTCTGCACTGGTCCTTGCCAGCCATCCGAGCGGAGTTTGGAGACGAGGTAGGAGATGTGATTTCTTCTTCGTTGCCATTTTGGGTGTGCGGTCGAGATTTCACGTTGTGTTATATGCCAGGCAATTCCGATGTTGACTGGGTGAGTCTCATGACGGATCGCAGAACTCGTTCCCGTCATCGCGTCGTGCATCGCAGCGCAGTGACAGAGGGCGCGGCAGACCCCGCAACGCAGCGCGGGTCGTTGCACACCGACACCTGCTCGGGCGCAGACGTGGTGGGATAGTTGGGACGGTGTTGACCAGTGCGGTCCTGGGCCTGAAAATGACCGTGCCAGTGTTGAGGAGGCGATGGCTAGATGGAGTGGACCGACGACGCCGGGTATTGTGTTTCTGGAGCCGGTTAAGCTTCTTCAATTGCTCGCCAAGTTTCATCTATATTGCCCGTGGCACAAGGGCTCGTGCCGTGTGTCTGTGGAGTCCGTCTCCTATCCTGCGCAGCTCTGTAAGCTGACGTTCGTATGCGACAAGAAATGCAAATGGACGTGGCACACGACACTCGTGACCACGAACGTCTATCAGTCGCGACTGATGCAGCAGCTGTTTCATGCGACGGTCACCGCCGGCCTTACGTTTACGCTCCTCGACAACTTTTGTGTTTGTTTAGGTATGTGCTCGGTGCACAAACCCACATTCTACAAGTTTATGCGCACAGAACCGGGGGGGGGCGGAGGGGTGGAATGCCAAGGTCGTACAACAGGGCATAAAATATTGCGAGCTTGCCATTGACACTGTGATGCGCCCTGGTGAGCCAGTGACATTGATGGTTGATGGTCGATATGACTCTGCAAGAGGCGCGCAGCATTGCACTGTCACCGCGATGGAGTACGAGACTCGGCTTGTTGTAGGTGTTCACACTCTCCGTCCGAAGATTGAAGGCAAGGCATCGAATGCGCTTGAGGTGCCAGCCGTCGTGCAACTTTTGCGAGGGCTGATGAACAAGGGGTTGAAGATCCGGTGCGTTGTCTCCGATGATTGTGCGGCGCTGGGACCGAAGTTGCGAGCTATGAACATCGAGTGGCAGAAGGATTGTCACCACAAAATAAAAAACATTCGACAGCACTTCCACAGTATGCTGCAACTGAAGGAAGCGAAGAAAGTGAGCAGCCCGCACGACTGTGTATCAGAGGCTCAGTTCATGCAGTTCACGAAGAAGCGGCTAAAGGAGGCGTTGGAGCAACGTTTTGGACCTGACATTCTCACACGTGCTGAGGAGCGGCTGAAGAAATCGGACTTCGTCGATGTCGTCATGCGAAAGATGTACCCCTACGGATCGAGGTTGAATCCTCGAGCATTGGAGACTGATCCAGACGGCTTGACAGAGTACCATGCGCATGAGGTTGGGATGTGGTTCCTCCGCGCTTGCCAGCTGTGCAGGGACGAGGGCGGAGACGCCGACAGTCTACACCGCGACATCATGTCGGTCGCCGATCATTGGGCTGGTGATCATTCGGGATGTGTGAACGGTAGGGAGGTTCTGTGCGAGAAGGCCAGTGGGCGTGCACGATTGCCTTTGTATAGCCGCACGAACACCGTGTACGAGCTCGTTCTGCGTGTTCTCGATAAATAATGCAGCACTAACATCACGTCGTACTACGTCGAGTTTCGGCACACATCGGCGGTGGAGACTTTTCAGGGCACCATCATTATCTACGCAAAGAAGTCGGTGCATTTCGAAAAGTCTTTCTGTGCATGCTTGTCGATCGCAGTGATTCGGTGGAACAGTCAGTGCTGGCGCGACCCGGTCGGGTATGTTGCTCGCATTGCTGCGGGCACTTCCATACGTGCAAGACCAGGCTTCCGTCGACACTACGGTCACGAGGCGATCGACTGTTGGGAGGACAGATTGGCGGCGTCAGTGTTCGGTTCGGCTCATGTTTCAGACTGGGCTCGAGAGCTTCTGCGGCAGGAGGTTTGTCCTTATGGAGCCGGACCATTGCCGCGTGATTTGTTCGTCAACGGTGGGGGCAACGCAGTGGAAGTCGTTGATGATGCTGCCTCAGATTTCGACCATGAGGCGGTGGGGGAGAACCGTGTTTTCATCATCGGTCACGTGGAGGACGATGCGGTGCCTGCATGCGATGATTGGGTCCAGACATCGAGCTCCGAATCTGAGGGTGACGATATAGAGTTGTTCAACGTTTGACTGGTTGAATGGCTTCATTGTTGACCTGACATCGGTCTGGTGATCCGAATTTCATTGTGCATGGCGTTGTTCACACACATCTCATGGTGTCTTGTTTGTTACACTACATTACATCCGTCTCTTCACTTGTATATATATCTCTATTTTTGCTCAGTCTGACTTCCAAGACTGATGGCGAGGCTGTATACTACCCCGTATGCTTACATTTGTAATTTTGTTCGACTGAGGGTTAATCGTGAGACGAACCTGTGAGGAAAATTCGTGAGGGCCATATCTGTAAATATGGGAAATATAGGCCCAGCAGTATTTCGATTTTCCTATACGTACCCTTGCTGCGAATAGCAGGCCCGGACTACCCCTAGGACAAACATACCCTAATGGCCTAAGCTGATAGACGGTTCTATAGCCTATAGTCGGGTTCGGTAGAGGCCGAGAGGCCGAAACTGCAACGGTGTTGGTCGGTTAGTCAGTCCTGTATAGGTGTAGGTTAGATTAATGTACTCTATTAGTAGATTGAGGGAAATCGATTGGGGAGCAAGGGACTGGAACAAACTCTGTTATGATATTCGTTCGAGTTGGTTCATCATCAGCATCATATGAATTGTGATCTTGTTGAGGTTCTTTATTGTGATTGTTTGTTAGGAGTGTGTCGGAGAGTGAGAGTCATTGTCTGACCTGCTCCATGTGTGCATGTGTGGGCGTGCTTGAGATTGTCTGTGTGTGAGTGTCGGAAAAAAATCGTCAAACAACCAAGTGATATATATATATATATATATATAATTTTTTTTTTTTTTTTTTTTCATACATCTGATGATATTTTATGTTAGTTTTTTGAACTTGAGTGGTAAGA